ATGACGTAATCACTGACGCACCGTCGTCGACCATGAGTCTCAGGGCTGGATCGGGTCATTTCCCATCAATCAGTTTTCTTATTCGTGAAAGCCAACTGGCGCTTCACCACACGACTATATGTTCAATGTCAAGCATAAAGAACAACTATACCTAGCTACGCTTGACACTTCAGCATGTAACGTAGCCAAAAAAAATTATGCAAATACGTGCCGGGCTTGGTTTGAAAGGCGGTGCAACTCCTAGAAAAAGCTCGAAAAACAGGAGAACTGCGACACCCCAACTTGACATGTCGTGAACTCTTCTCTCTCTTCATTGTCAGGGGTGTACAGATCTCCTCAAATAACTGCTTCAGAAGTTCTTCACATTCGTCGTAGTACTTGGACTTTGACGTTTGCAGGGGGTCGAAATAGTGATTCCTCGACTATCTTTTCGGAAGTCTAATATCGCACCACACCAGTGATTGTTTGCGACGTGAAGTGGTATCAGTACGATCTTGTTCGTCTCTTGGAAGCATTGGCTGCCTTGATGGCCTGAAGTTGCTCTTCTCGATGTTCAAAGCGAGTGAATATTGGGTTGATAACTGCGATACTAAAGTGCGCTCGCTGCAGTAGCGCAATACCATTCCCCATACATTTGTCGTCCATTCACTTGTTTTCCCGAAATGTTAAGAGTGCACGAAATGGTATACTGCCAAATTGTGTCACGCGTCCACGCGTAGCAAGAGCTTGATAGCTCTCTCTCTCGTTCTTTGGAGTCGCTGCTAACAATTGAGAGTGTAGGTCGATGTGAACGAGGCTTGTAGTCGATGTGAGTCGATGAATGGAAATTTGAAAGTGAAATTGATTGAGTTAGATGTGCTAGTTTGTTTCTCCCTCCTACACATGCAGATCCTATTGTCCTCCTTTTATGAGCCGGTCCGTGTATACCATTCGTATACTGAGACGGACACGCTTTGGAGGGACCGACACACCTGCATACAAAAGTGCATATAAAACCATAAACTGGGACGGACACACTTGGATGGGATGGACACACTTTATACAGCGGGAATGCCGCATGTCACGATTGTCCTCCCTCAGCAGATCCCATGATAGCCAGAATTGAAGTTATCGCCCAATCACAATACAGGATGCCAAATGATTTGCCAATCTGGTTGCACCATTCCTTCCACTTCAATTGCAGGATGTGTAAGGCACGTGTTTGACGCATGCCTAGCGGTAGGCATCCAGCGAAGCAGACAGCGAAGTGCAACCACAACACTAACACCATCCGAGACATTTCCGGGTATCGTAAAACGCTTGATACTAGTGTTGACCGCCCAGTTATTGCACCCTCCGCATGCGACATATACTCCACGTTTGTGTTCCAGCGATTCATGGCGACGATGTCCTTGTGGTGAAAGATACCAAAACGAGGAACTCCAACCCGTAGCGCAGTATTACGAGAGCATTTCGAAAGTTAAAATAGCAGTTTGTGCTTTCTCCACAAATCTCAGCGGGAACACAAATCTAGTATCTAGTATTCGTGTTGCACTCGGCGTTGGTATGGGGGCGGGCTATTGCTTTCTTTGTCTTGGTAACTTCATGAATAGTAAGTGTTGATAGAACAAGGTGATTATCCTCGTAGTTGTAGTCGCTGTCGGGTATTTTGGCGATACTTCGAACGTTCGGAACGGGTACAAATGTACCTTGTACAAGTTTGGTAGCCGTTTGCTTTCCTTGCTCAACTCGCTGTCTCTTTTCAGCTTGCCCTTGATTCTTCCTCACTTTTGGTCGTACTCTATTCTTCGCACTTTTGACACGATGAACGATCCAGACCAATCCGTAGAACAACTGCTGATATATGGGCACTTGTGCAAACTTGCAGAAACTTTGCTTGCTTCTGAAGTAGCCTCAGGTATGAGCGATGTGTCTGTAGTTACACTGGTACCCTGAGGAGCATCCGCACGTACTGTTAGTGGCTGAAGATACTTAAGTGGCCTTCAGATATTCAGACGGTGGTTCGTCAACTGAGCGAGCGCTAGAAGAATCAAGATTGGGTTTGGCAGTTACACAAACGTTATCGTCATTGTTGGGCGTTAAACACAGCGAGGAAATCTACGATAGCTGGTCGTTCCAAGGCTATTCGCGTCCAAAGAAAGAGGCCATTCCCTCCTTAACTATCTCCTCAAACTGCGTCAACGTGCTCACCATCAATCCAAATAGGTTCGATCAATTTCTGCTCATGATATCTGCGATACTTCTCCCCCGTTCGAGAGCATGTTTGTACTTCATCGACCCGTTGAGAGCTTGATGGTACCTAGCGGCCATTGCCGACTCGTGAATTGGAAAGAATTTGAACGCAACGCTCTTATCTGGTGCGTCTTCTTCGGCGGCAGGTTTATTCAGTTTCAACGAAAACTTCTAACGAGCAGCCTTGGAAACTCTGTGGTTGTGCGCGACATGGAATACCGTCACGCGCACTATAAACTTCTTGAACTCGGCAGCATCATTCCATGGTATCGCCGCCTTTACATTGACCAGGCACCTCATTGATTGTCGAAATGACACTTTCGTTGTCCAGTGCCATGACTTTTCCTAACCCAGCCGTGCGTACAGACGAGTTTGATCCAGAATGGCTTGAACGACTCAGGAAATAGCCGCTATCAGGGATCACACATTTGAACACAGTTTGAGCAGTACCTGAATTTGATCGCTGAGCAACAGCTTCGAGCAGGGACAACTTGCGTAGCCGTGCTGTAGTCTCCGACATGTCCGCCATCTCCGCCAGCGGACTAGAGTCTACGCTCATCCTTGTAGAGCTGTGGTGACTTGGAGCTATCAACCGTTGATATGGCTCGCGTTTGAATCTCTCGATGCCTTCTCTCCACCGATGTAGACATGCGCTGTCGAAATAGTTGGTGAGTAACCTCTTGGTCCATATACTTGCAAAACGCAGACCAGTCGTCATGCCATTCCACAACGACGGGAGAGCCACCCTAGAGCCATCTGGGGGCACATCACGCTCAGGTTCGCTGCCACTCATGGCGCCCATCCACTAGCGTTGTGTGGGCTTGCACCTTCGAACTTGCGAATGAGAGGTCCAGTCGAGGATGAAAGTATTGGGCGATGGGGTGTCATTTTCTATTAAAAAAAAATGAGATCTCAACGTTCCAGACTGCTGGTCATTTATTTCCGTAATTTACGATTCAAATACCGTTGCACGTCGCGTAAATACGGAATTGCTCAGTGCCTTTAACCAGTCCCTACATTAAATTCCCTACCGCCCCTTGAGTGAGCTCCCGAAAGTAAACGAATAACGGGAGTAGTCAATACAATTTTGTACGAGTTGGCTGCGCCACTTTTCGGTGCTGCGAGCTTATTTGCTACATGAAAAAGTATTTAGACAGAAGTTCATTTTATTCTGTCTCGTTAAATCGTGAGTCGGCATAGAATGGGAACCAATGAATGGTGGCAGGGGGCCCGAAAACGCAATATTCAGATTAACATTTGCAGGATGTCGAGACAATAATAATTGCATTATTTTAATGATTCTGGGCAATAACCTTGTCATTCAAGCACGGAAGTTCGGTAATGAAAAACGACGATTTGTCTTTTGTTAAATTCAAGTTTGAGTAAGGTTAGCTTGTAAAAGGCGATTTCTTGGAAAACTCGCCAGAAAGACAACGCACCCGGCACCATACCCACCAATTAACTCACATAGCCACAATCGTCTCCCAAAAGTACAATATGATTGAGAACAATACTCAAACAGCCACCATTAGTTACTTTATGGTTTCCACATGAAACATGTCTCGAGGGTTACATACAGGAGTTGTGAATACACCTCAATCTTCTATAAAAGCCAATAAAGCAACAATAGATAGATTGCAATGTTTTAATTTAATTCGGATGTGGCTTTGAATTAATCATTATAAGTAAATATACCAATATATTTTTATGAGTATTATCTTTTCGGGACTCCTGAATGATGGTATGATAGCCGAGAGTAACCCTGGCGTGGCTTCGAATGTATCCTACAACAGTGTTGTCAGTCAATACATACTGTACCAAAAGTTCCATTTTACTACTCCGGAGCCACATCATCTGCATAGGTGAGAGCTGATGTCTGTTCGGGCAACATTCACGCGGAATATAATTACTTCGGCGAGTCGTAATATACCATGATACTACGCCTGGTCGCCACATGCAGCATTCACGTGGGTCGCATCACTTGTACAAAGGATATCTGATATACATCACAAAACTAGTTGATTAAAGTAAAGACGTCGTATCTGAAATGTTACGCTCCGCAATTTCAAAAGAAAAAAGCACAATATGGGGTACAACAATTCAATGTTGATCTTATATAACAGGTATATCAATTGCTAAAGTAGGTTTATTTAAGTTCTGAGTAGATAACGTGGGTTTGGTCTCTAAGTATAAGAAGTAGTTTTGGGTCAGAACGGCTCGTCTCCTAAAACTTTGGTATTAAAACCCATAGAATAACACAAAACATACAACTTCTTCTACGTAGAGAAAATTGTGTTATTCCAATCACTGAAGTATTCATGGTAACCGCTAACCATAACAACGCCGCTCATTGTCGGCAAACATCCTACTGAGGAGCATTCGTTTTCGCGCGAACGTTCTCCGACCAAGTTTTGCACATACGAGCAAATCTGTTGTCGTCACTGCCCCCTCCCATAAGCTTAGCTCTAATGCTAACGGGCGTCTCTCCCTTTTTGTAAAGTATTTTAAGCAAGCGCTCCAGAATCGGTTCTGACAATTTTTTCGCTTTAACTGACGCAGTGGCCTTGGCCCCGTTCAGAGCTGTCTTCGCACGCTCCACAATGTTTGATAAAGATACCGCTCGCTCTTCATCATCCGTGTTGGCCTGTTTAGTGTCAATCTTGGTGGTATCGCCTCGTAAACTTCGTCTCTTATTCATCATCGTACTCTGCCAGCGGCGCATGAACCGGGAAGGTGGGACCAAACTTCCAGTTCTTCCTCGAGGTTTCCTAGTCGGATGAAGTAACACCCGTGGGTGCGAGGAGTATAACCAGAGTTGAGAGTACAGCCCACAAGAGTGATCGAATCGCTGAATGTCGCCGGAAATGGTCGAGAGGAAGTTGATGCTGCTTAGGAGAGGTGAATTGAGAAATGATCGAATGCACCTACATACGAACACCTACAGTTTTTGATACTACTCCTTACAGTAGATAAGAGGAAGCAGATCACTAAGAAAAATCAACCCTACAAAGGCGAAAATAATCGGATGCCCATTTGATCATCTGGTGATGCACGAACAAGAAACGGGAACCATTATTGTGTGTTCTATCTCTCGGATACTCGATATCTCCATCGGCGGATCTTTGAATGAACCAAGCAACAATTGCACAAATCGGGAAAAGACATTGGTTGAGTATTGTCAGCTTAACCCTTCTAGCCCGAGCTTTTATTCTGTATTCTACAGAATAAGATAATTTCTTGGTTTCAATATGCTTCAAAACCTGCGAGAAGTATGCTATTAGATGCCCTTTCGCGCTTGATGGTGCAAAACTGGTCCAGTTGTGAACAAAGCAGCAGCGCACGTGGACATAACGTCCACAATGTATCCATTAGCTACAGAATATGCAATCTTCTATTCGTGCATTTCTGAGTAAAGCATGGCCAAAAACCTGCAATTGACTAAAACCCGTTCATTGTGATACTATCGCTAACCTAAGCTAAACTCAGTCTTCTTCTCTCTCGTTTCGTTTGCGGAATCTGATCTTCTTTTTAAGTCTAGAAGGAATCGCTTTGCCTTCGTTCCAGACCTCGTCCCAGATCTCGTAGCAGGTGCGTGTATTCCCCTCCTCCTTGCGGCAAATACTGTCGCACAGCGGTACTCAATCGCCAAACGCATCGCTGCAAAAGTAGCTGGACTCATACGACTTTTCGTTCTTGTCATCAAACGCAGAGCACACCTTGCATAGATATTGGCGCCGCTTGTGCTGTTTTCCTGATGAATAGAACACGTCCGTGTTGGCCAGGGCGTGCACTCAGGTACATTCACCAGGTCTTCCGCGTTCATGTGTCTCTCCAAATTGATCGTTGCAAAGATAGCAACTGGTCGTGCAGGCGGCGCAGATAATCAGCATGGGTGGGCGGAGTAACTCCTCTTTTCTTGAGAGTGATGCAGTGAACAATGTAACCATTCACTATAGCCATATCTACAATGCACAGGAATAGCTTCTCGTAGTACTTGCGGAGCGAGATGCACTTCTGAATACTGTACCTGTAACGATGTTACACGCAAGTGGCTACATGTAGCCACTTGATTTCGACACTGGGTTTCACGTTGGTGTGAGATACACCAATGGTTACATTTGAC